CCAGAAACCCTGCAGAAAACAAATCCCTGCTGCAGCCACAGGCCAAGACGGTGGCAAACACTTAAACAACGATGCAATGACCACACGCTGCCGTTGGAATCAACGGGCTGACATCCCGGTTCTCCTCAGCAGGTTGTACAAGGCCCACGGAGCCAAGGAGCGGAGTGGTCCTCCCTCCCGCCCGCGGGAGCCGAGCGGAGCCGGGAGCAGCTCGGGATGTGGTTGAGGGCATTACCTGCATGCTTGTGAGGGTGCTGGAGGCTTCGCTGGCCCTGGGAGCTGTTTCCTTGCTGCAGGAAGAGCGCCGCTCCTTTCACCATGAAAAAGCTCTCGCTCAGGCTGGAAAACAAACGGCACGGGAAGTGAAACGAGAGGAAACCGCAGCAAAACGCGGCTTAAAAACGCACGGAAAAGCAGGATTTGCCACAGGAAGCTCTTCCCAAGGGCGCCTGGCACCTTTCCGGGCAGGTTTCCAGCGCTCTTCGCGCAGCTCGTGCCGTTCGGCCGCGACGTTGCGGCCCGGCCGTCGCAGGAGGCGTTTGCCCGAGTCGCCACGTGCTGGAATCGACTTTATCGTCCAATTACCAAACTCTGCAACTCGAAACCAGTGGAGAGCAAGACATTCTACAGGCTGAGAGCTGTAAAATGACTTGAGCCCGAGTCCCGAGTCAATCCCTTCCTACGGATTGCAGCTCCGGATTGCTCTGGAATGCAGGAACAGGAACGCGCGGCTGCGACTCCCTGGAGGTTTAAGGGCGACGGGAGGGGAAGATGAAACCTGCACATCATAAGGAAAGAAAACTGCTCCCAAAGTGGAAAAGCGCCACAGCAAGGACCTGGCTTTGCCCTGCTAGGTACGACGGTCCCGGGAAATTCTGCTGCTAACAAGGCAGGTCCCAGTATGTGCAAACACAAAACTGTATTTCCACAAAATCAAATAAAATAGGCCGAGAACATAAGTAAAGAGAGGACTGCGCTAAATCAGTAGCTGCAGCAAGAGGCAGGACAAATCTAATTACACAGGACCGTAACGTGCCCGGGAGCAGTTCAGAAATAGGCTTGGGCCAAAGTGGTGAAGTGACGTTTCCCACAAGGCCCAAAATCAGCATTTTCGGAGCCCCCTTTTAGCTGCCGCTGCCCTTGTGCCACCTCCCGAGGCGGCGGGCAGGGACGCGGCCACCCCGCGCTCCCAAACACAGCTCACCATTAACTACTGCCTGCAATTTACTATATATAAACGCGAGACGGGGCCGCACAGGGTTACCCAGGCTGCACAGAGGGATCCCACAGGAGCTGCTGCTCCCGGCGTTTTCCCTGTTTTCTCCGGAGACTTTGTCCCTGCGGAGCGGGGGCACTAGGGCCCCGTCTCGTTACAGCATCCAGCTTTTGGTCAGCGCAGCCAAGGTCCTCCAAGCTACGAAGGCTTTAGGACAAACTGCCCTAATTTCTCAACTAAATCCTTGAGGTGCAAAATTCCCAAGCTTAAATTTGAGGGGAAAAAAAAAAAATTGAACCAAAATTTCGCCATAGGCTCCAGGTTTTCCACGTCCTGTCTCGGATCAACAGGCGCCTCCAGGACAGCCCCTCTCCGGGCTGGCTGGAAGGAGCTTTCCCGCGGAGCCGGGAATCGCGCTCATCCCGCCCGTCCCACGGGAGGAACCTCGTCTTCCTCCCCCGGCAGATCTTTCGTGCTAACAGGAAAGCGTTTTAAAAGGCCAGAAGTTACATAAAAACAGTGAGATCAGCACGATGGAAGGAGACATCCACTCAGACCCCAGCCTCAAACACTCTTCTGAGTCCTTTTTCCAACAAGAGAGAAAGAATGGTGAGATAACACACTAGCAAATAACCCACGGGATCCCTATCTCAGGAATTCGGGGAAAGCGATAAGGATGTCCCAGAAGATATTCTTTTATCTCTGCTCAAATCCTGATGGAGATTTCTACCAAAACAACGAACATGGAAGAGAGACGAGTCCCTCCCCGAGGCGGCAGGGATTGATGCCCTGGGGGCTCTCCGGGGCTTGGGAAGCTCCGTGGAAGCATCGTTGGCCATAGGAGACTGTTCCCCACGGAGGAGAGGGAGCAAGCGGCACTGAGGAGGAAGGGACAAGCCCACAATGGAACTGTTGTCACCACGAGTTCAGCGGCGCGGAGACGAACCCGAAAACCAAGCCCATGGGCACAGCAAGAGGCTTTTCCTTCTCGCTCCCGACCCTGAACCGCAGAACGCTTCCCAGGTGCCATCCCCGCTGCGGAACGAGCCCCGGCGCGCGCTTCCCGGTCCCTTATCCCAGCGTTCCTGCGTCCCGGCCACCCGCAAAACGCAGCGGGAACAGGGCAAGCCGGAGCGCAGCCGCCTCCCCAAACCCGTGCCAGCACCAGCCCAGCTCCCTTTGCCTCTTAAACCTCCCAAGAAAAACAGCAGAAAATAAGGCAATTGCTAAAGGACATGCCCAAGCTCCAAGCCTCCGAAGCAGCGATAAATATCGTAGCAAGCAGCATTCGTTAGCAGCATAAAAACGAGTGGCTTATACATACTAATTTGGTCTGGTTTTCTTTGCACAGCAGAAGCATTGTGCCGGCCCCAGAGTCAGACAGAAGTCAGTAAATTTGAGAAGATTCATAACGAGCTGTAAAACTCACATCCTTGTGCTTCTAGGCCCATTAAAAATAAAAAAGAAGAGGAGGGAAAGAAAGGGTTGACCGTATATTCCACAAGGAGCAGAGAAATCGCGGCTGCTGCTGCTGCTCCCCGGGAGCTGGATGAGTCTGCAGAACACTGTCTGCCCCCGATATCCTGGCTTGAAAAAGCACTTGTCCTAACACATCCTGATGAAAGAGGGCCATTCAAAGGGGAAAAACCAGCTGAGGCTCCGCTAATCGCTGCCCTCCTCCGGCCGCTGCGGAGGCGACGCGGCGGCAGCGGGCACTAAAGCACCGTGTTGACCAGGGCCCGCTGGGGTTGGTTTTACCCTTGTGATGCTGCCGCTCTCACGTATCCGTATCCGTGGAATTGCAGCCCTCCTCCGCCTGCGGTCGGGTCCCCGGGTTTGAGCCGGGCTTTTCTCCAGGGACCCCCATTTTAACGGGAGATCTCGCGGCAGTGACAACGGTCGTGCATGGCAGCCTGGAAGGAAACGCTGCCCTAATGCCCCTCCAGCTTGGGGGGACTCTCACTAGTCTCCTACAAGTCTAGGGATTCAAAAATCCTATTAACTAAAACAGGAAGGGGGCAGAACGGAGACTCGTAGGATCCCCAGGCCGGGGATCCAGCCCTGCTCCCCCCAGACTGCCGCTCAGTTAATGCAGGCAAGGCCCAACCAGCCGGTTTTTGCACCCAAAATCCTGCAAAGGGCAGCATCTCCGGAGCCGTAATGAACTTTTCCAGCTATTTCCAGCTATTTTTCCAGCTGTTGTTGAGCACGGAGGGAAGTCCATTTAATGCAGCCAGATCTACGCGCTTACAGCTCTGCTCTTAAAAACGATGCGAGTTGCTGCTGAGCTCTTCTGTTTCCGAGTTCATCTCGAGCCTTCCCTGCTTGGTTGGCCCGTTGGGTGCTGGCACCGCTCGGAGCTGCCAGCCAGCCCTGCCTCGCTCTTCGGCCACTCCATCTTTGCCAAATTAAGTTTCTTAATTTCCCACCCATCAACGGAACAAAATGTACATGTGTGGTGAAGGGACAGAGAAGGTCACCCATCCATTGGATCCATGCTGGAGTCACCAACAGCAGCTCCCCAAAAGGTGACATTACACAAGGGTCGACTCCGACTCGCGCGTGACCCATTCCTTGTGCCCCACGAAGCTGCACGGCTGCAGCCAGCTCTGTCATTTAGGGAAAAGAGAGAAAAAAGGGGGAAAATAAAGCAAACCCCCAAACCGTATTCGCACTTCTCTCAAATTTGGTCCCATGATTACAACAGCGCAAATGTCCCGCTTCCTATCATTTCCTTCGCATGGCATCTTCTGCTCAAAGCCTTCCCAAACTGATAAGGTCAGGAAAAAACACGTCTTCCAAGCTCCACAACATTAAAATAACACTTCCTTTTCCACAGTCCCTTTGATAAGGGGGATGAGAACTGGGGGATGATTTTTTTCTTCCCTCGGCCTGGAACTGGTGATGCTTCCACAGCCAGGCCAGGCCACGCGGGGCCCAAAAAGTGACTTTATGGAGCAGGCTCCGATGCCAGGACGGGCCCCATGCTCAACACATGCAAGGAATTAAATTAAAATGCGATTAGAGCCACACAGAGGTGTTGGGACACGTCCACCCACTGTGGACACAGGAACGGGAGGCAGGAAGGCTCTTTCCGTACCCGTGGCCACATTCGGGTGCAGCCATGAGCAGTCATCGCGCTCAGGCTCCCCGAAATGGAGAAAATTCACCCCAAGAAGAACCCAAAACGCAAACGCAGGGAGGCAAACCTGATCCAAACCCTCGGCGGGCAAAAAGAGGGAAGAGAAAATATGAAATCAATGGAGAAGCCTGGGAAGCTGATGTCCTCCGTTAACAGACTGCTAATGATGCCGATCTGCCTGTCCCGTGTGTCCCGGCCCTGCGGGAGAGCAACCGGCCTGCAGTGGCACCGGAGGCAGGAGGTTTGGGGAGAAAAAGAGGGAAAAAAGAGAAAAAGCTACTGATACTGCAGCCACCACAGCTCCGGGCTCTGCCCCTCATCCCTGTGGAGGAGCGAGGGGCTGGGAAGGAGGTGCTGGAACACCAGGAAAAGGGCAGAAAGAGGGAAGCAGAGGAATCGGCAGGACTGCTCCCCGTTCCAGCAGAGACTTGTGCAAAATAAGTCAGAACAACTCCCAGATGGCCAGGAAAGGGAAAATTCTAGGAATCCCTAGTACTTTGGTGATGCAAAGCCAAATAAAATACGAGATTGTTTCATCAGGAAGAAAAAAAAAAAGAAAAAAAAGCCGCATTTGCTCATCCCATTAATCAGAGAGTTCACAAAGGCACGAGGATGATGGGGGCAGCAGCAGCGACGCAGCGCGCTGGGACGCAGCGCGTGCGATCGCAGGGAGCGCTCCCAGATTCCCCCGAAAATGATGTCAGCCCACGAGAGCGCACGAGGCCGGGGCACATCCCTAACGGTGACATCAGAGCCCATTAAACCGCTGTCACCAAACCCGGTCCAAAGGGGATTCCCACATCCGTGCCCGTATCCGCGTGGCTGGGGCCCGTGGCGCTGCCCACGCGGTCCCTGCGCCCCCGGGCTTCCTCCTCACTAACATTGCAACGTGAAGAACCAGAACCGCACGCTGCGCCTCTCCATAAATCCCTTTTTCCCAGTTATTGCCGTGCAAACAACTGCTGCGGCTGCCAAAGAGGTGTTTGGTGACCACAGGTAGGGAGGGAGGACGGAGCTCAACACCGGGAATGCAGGGAGGCGTCTCCGAGCTGCGGTCCGTGCTGTGCCAGGGCTGGAATGTTGCTCCCACTCGAGCCCAGGCTCCTCAGCAAGGAGCCTTCATCCCCAGGCGCGCCGGCACATCCTCCTGCCCCTGCATCGCTCCCATCCACGCTCTGCTTTAACCCTGTCGACTATTTTATATCTTCACCCACTCGCCAGCATCTCCCGGAGAGGTGGGAGACTCATAGGGGAAGCTCCGTGACGGAGAGGGAGGCAGCACCGCCGGGAATGCAAGAGAAGGTGACAGGAGCTTTGAGGACCGGGAACGCCGGGAGCGCCGCCGAGGCCCGCGCGCGCCGGCCTGCAGAACGGCTCCAAAAAAGGCAGCAGAGACCAGGGCGCACTTGACACATGGGCAACGTGCAAAAATAAAATGAAATAAACCTCGACAGATCCCGGCGGGGAAAAGCAGGGCAGGAAAAGCTCCAGCTCGAGCCAGCACCCCCTCTAGCGTTAAGAGCCTGCCCGGGTCCCTGCAGGGATGAGCGGATCCCCAAAAATCACCGCGTTCGGCAGCCAGGGCTGAGCCTGCTCTGCACAGAGTGGGCTGGTAAAACCCTCGGACATAGAATCATGGAATGCTGACGGTTGGAAGGGACCTCTCAAGGTCACCTAGTCCAACCCCTGCACACGGAGGGTCACCTAGAGCACGTGGCACAGGGCTGCGTCCAAGCGGGTTTGAAGATCTCCAGAGAAGGAGACTCCACAACCTCTCTGGGCAGCCTGTTCCAGTGCTCTGGCACCCTCACTGTTA